CCTATAACCGGCTGGCCATACCCTCCTTATCCACCTCCTCAATACGGCCCTGTGCTTCCTACACCTGCTACCACTCCTACTGACCAGCCCTCCTCCTCCAATCCTCCTGGCTTCACTCCATTCCCTTCTGCTGGATTCATAGGACACGTTAGCACAACTTCTCCTGCTCCTTCAATGTATGCCCATGCTATTAATGAGACATCCTTCCAGTATTCCGCTTCTTCCTCCTCCTCTGCACCCCTTGAGTTCATTCTTGACAGTGGGGCTACACACACCGTCCTTCGGGACGCAGGCACACTAGTCCCCCTCCCCACTCCCTCCACCATTTACGGAGCCGACTCCAGCTTCACCATCACAAGTCGACACACCTCCACTCTCCCCTGCCCCATCTTCCCCTCAGGCACAGTCACAGGTCTACACGTCCCCTCACTACGCAACAATCTGGTAGCACTTCGTGACCTCCCAAGGCTAGGTGTCACCGCCATCTTCCCCGGTCATGCACTTCACTGCGACCTCTTTCACACCATCACTGGTCGCTTCATCTGTCGCATTCCCCTCTGCCCACACACAAACATGTACACATACCGCACCCCTCGCCCCTCCATCCAGCAACTCACCACTCCCACCTTACTTCCCTCTCACTCCCTTCCCCCCTCCCCTTTCCCCCCCCTCCTCCCCTCCCCTTCTTCCCCCCTTCCCTCCCCTCCCTCCCCCCCCCCTCCCTCCTCCCCCTCCCCTCCCTCCTCCCCCTCCTGTCACTGTCGTGACCTTACCCATCCCGCCGTCCTCCTTCACCACCGCTTGGGTCATCCCAACTTTGCCACCCTTCGTCAATCTGTGTCCTCTCAACTTCTTGACGGACTTCCCCTCACCCTCCCCCCTCTCCCCCCGTCGCCCTCCCCTCCCTGCTCAGTTTGCGCTGAAAGCAAACTAAAGCAAGCCCCCCACAAGAGTCATCCCTCCTTTTCTCCCCAACCCATTGATCTCGTCCACATGGACCTCTGGGGCCCCAATCCTTCCCCCACCAGGCAAGGTCATCGCTACCTGCTCATACTGGTAGATGACCACAGCCGGTACTCCACTGTCTCCCTCCTTCGCAAGAAGGCGGAGGCCCTGGCTGCCATTATTGCCGGGCTGAACAAGCACGCACCCATTTCAAACGCCCTGTCTCTCGCTTCCATTCCGATGGCGGCGGTGAGTTCCTTAACCGGATGCTTTCCTCCTACTGCTCCACCCATGGCATTATCCACACCTACACCCTTCCTCATTCCCCTCAGCAGAATGGTGTGGCGGAGAGCAGGGTTCGGGAGGTCACCAAGACCGCTCGATGCCTCATGGTCCATGCCTCCTGCCCAGCCTTCTCTGTGGGGTTATGCTATCCTCCACGCCGCCATCCTCACTAATCTCTACCCCCATCCCTCCCGGCCCACCACTACTCCCACTGAACTCTGGACCTCCACTAAACCCGACATCTCACCCCTGCGCGTGTGGGGCTCCAAGGCGTATGTTCTCATACACCCTGAGGACCGTTCACGTGCAGCTGGGAAACTTGCCTCCCGCACCCTCCCCTGCATATTCATTGGTCATAACCCCATCTCCCCGGATTACCTCTTCCTCCATCCCCCCTCAGGTCGTCTCATTCGTAGCCGGGATGTGGTTTTTGATGAAGCCAACCCGTACTACACCTCCCCCTCTGCCCCTAACCCCCTCCCCCTAACCATCCGTCCTCTTCTCTGGACTGACACCGTCCACACCCCTCCCCTTCAGCCTCCCCCCACCCTAGTCATACCCGCACCCCCACCCCCTCCCCCCTCTCTCCCAACCTCCTCAGGGGACATCCTTGATCCGGCTGCCCCTCCCTCCCCTTCCGCTGACCCTCCCCCTCCCTACCCATCCCCTCCCCCTCCCTCCCCACCCCCTCCCCCTCCCCCTCCCCCTCCCCCCCCCCCTCCCCCTCCCCCCTCCCAACCTCCATTACCTCCTCCCTCCCCATCTCCTCCTCCGCCCCCTTCCCCTTCCACCATCTCGGCCCCTACTTCCCTCCCCTCCTCTGCTCCTTCGTCATTACCCTCACACCCGCTCCACAGTCCCCATCCTTGGTCCCCCACGGTCCAATCACCTCTCCCTCCAGTCTCTCACATCCATTCCACTCCACCACTCTAGCACTTTCCCTCTCCCCCGCACCAGCCCCTCAGGTTCACACACCAGCCGCGCTCCCGTCTCCCTGCCCCTCACGGCAACTCAGCGCAGCAGAGCAGCATTGCAGCTGTCTCCTTGCCCCGACCCTCGGCGCAGCAGAGCAGCAGTGCAGCTGTGTTCCCGCTCCAGCCTGACTCTCCAGCGCAGCTGCCTTGCATCTTCACCGCCTCCTCTTCCTCCTCCTCTCTCTCCGGACCTCTATGAAGACTCTCACTATGAACTCCTTTTCCTCCACCTCCTCTCACCCACCATCGCCCCTGTCGTCCGCACTATGGCTGGAACTACAGTTCTTCTCTTCTCCAACACCCCCACCATCTACGAACCCACCACCTATGAGCAAGCAATTGCATGTCTTGACGCACCTCTTTGGATCGAGGCCATGGTCAAGGAATGCAACGCCTTCATCCACAACCGCTCTTTCCTCGACGTCCCTCGCCCCTCCAAGCACAACGTGGTCAAAGGCAGGTGGCTCTTCCGAGTTAAACTACTCCCTGGTGAAGCTCCTGTCTACAAGGCTCGGTATGTGGCAAAAGGCTTCACACAGACCTATGGCTCGGACTTCTTCAAAACCTACTCACCTACCGCCACTCCGCCAGTCATTCGCGTGTTCCTGGACTTTGTTGGCAGACGCGGGATGCTCCTCCACTCCATGGATGTCACCACAGCCTTCTTACAAGGCGACCTCCACGAGCTCATTTTCTTGGAACGTCCAAAGGGCTTCCACGCTCCTCATGACCCTGCCACCGTCTGGAAACTCCTGCGCCCTGTCTATGGGCTTAAACAAGCACCTCGAGAATGGCACGCTAAACTCTCATCCACCCTTCGCGCGCTTGGTTTTCGCCCCTCCCGTGCTGCCTCCTGCCTCTTCCTTCGCCTGAACCCCGTCACCCTTCTTCATACTCGTCTACGTCGATGACATGCTGCTTGCAGCCGACACAGCTGCTGAACTTCAGGAGGTCAAGGATGAGCTGCAGCACCGTCTCGCCTGCAAAGACCTAGGGGAAGTCCGCAACTACCTCGGCATGGAGATCACCCGTGACCTCACTGCCAAGACTATCACCCTCTCCCAGTCATTCTACATCGGGAAGGTGCTTGAGAGGTTCGGCATGTCCAAATCCAAACCCATCCCCACGCCACTTGCATTCGGGCATCGGCTTTCCCCTCCAGCCACTCCTGTCACCTCCCCTCATCCCTATGCAGAACTCGTTGGGGCCCTGATGTACGCCATGGTCTGCATTTGCCCCGACCCTCGCATACCCCGTCAGCGTCCTGGCGCGGTTCGTTGGCACCGGGCAGGCATGGTGAGGAGCACTGGAAGGCGGCCATGCGTGTCCTGCGCTACCTTCAAGGCACAAAGGACTATGGCCTCACTCTTGGTGGTGTGAACCCACCTGTTCTTCACGGCTTCAGTGACTCATCTTGGGCAGACGCGCAGTCGGACCATCGCAGCTCTCAAGGATATGGCTTCTCACTCGGGAGCGGCCTCATCAGCTGGCGCTCCACTCGCTCCTCCTCCGTCGCCCTCATCGTCCTGCGAAGCCGAGCTGTAACGCAGTCACAATGGCGGCTCAAGAGGCACGCTGGCTTAGCTATCTACTCACCGACCTTGGCTCACCACAGCCCTGCCCCACTTTGTGGTGTGACAACGATAGTACCATCCACCTCACCAAGGAGGCCGTCTTTCATGGTCGCATCCAAACACATCGAGCTTCGCTACTACTTTGTTCGCGACCTTGTGCAAGATGGTCACATCACTGTTCGTAAAATCGACTCGTCCGCCAACCTTGCTGATCTCTTCACCAAGGCTCTCCACCGCTCTAACCACTCTGCGCTCCTGCGCCTTCAGGGACTCGCTCCCCGCGGTGGCTGATTCAGGGGTTGTTGCGTTCTCATCATCCAAAGCTTATGGATTTCTGTAGGTTAAGGGGTTGTGTCAGATTATCATCCTCATTGTAACATGCATCATCACATAAGCTTCGGTTAGAGATAGGCACCCAAACTTAGTTTGGGTGCACAACTAGGGTTTACCCTAGTTTGAGGTTGGAACCCAACCTTGACCCAATTATTGGGCCCCCAAGGTTGGGTTGGGAGATTATTGGACCCCCAATAATGTTGAAACCATTTTTGGTCAACATTATTGGTCCCACCAATAATTCCTCAACCCAACTTATTGGTGGGGGCCAATAATGTTGGCATGGCTCCTACATCCTAGCTCTACTATGTAAACCCATGCCCTTCCTAATGAAACTATCGGTTCTTCTTACATCTTTCTCACACTCCATTCCAGTACCTTTCCTCCAAAATCTCATCACCCGTCTCTCCTTCTGTCCCCATCAATACCACTCACCCAGGCATCTTACCCAGAACCAGCTCTCAGGCCCTCGACCCCCTCCATTCCGTACCTTTCCTCCCCAATCCCCTCACTCACCCCTCCCCTCTCATCCCCTCGTCCTCTCCAATACCACTCACCAGGGCATCTCACCAAGAACCAGCTCTCAGGTTCAAAACCCACCGCCGTCAGCTGTCTCTCCTCCCTCACCTTCCTGTAAGCCATCCTCCATCCATGTGTAAGTATACCACTTTTGAGACGTCTCAAAAAAATGTCCTCCACCCACCCTCCCCTTCCAGTGACCCATCTGCAATGAAAGCAATCGGCCTGCCTTTCGTCCCAAGGCACTGCACTCATGCCTCGTGACACAGCTCAGTAACCGAGTTGACTTTTGAGTCGACTCAAAAGTCAACTCAAAAGTCGACTCAAAAGTCAACTCCCAAGGCACTGCACTCATGCTTCGTGACACAGCTCAGTAACTGGCGGTTCGTCTCTTCATAGCCACCTCAGGATCCGACCTCTTCGTTTGCTCACCTGAAAACGAGAAAGTCAGCGAGTCATCGGACCTTATTCACACAGCATGCCTTATTCATCGTTTGGTTGGAACTTGGACCAATACACGAATGTGAGGTCCCATGCTTCGTAGCTAGGAACGTTTGGTTGAACTTGGAGACCAACCACACAGGGCTAGGTTGGGCCCTAAAGCCAGGCGAGGCTAAGTGGCTTTGAGTCGACTCCAAGGGTAACCAACCAACCAAGCATTGGCATTGCGCCTGAATCATGCTAACAGGTACCGCCTCAAGTGTTTGTCCGTAATCGTGCGCGTTGTTCGTGCCCAATCTTCGTGCTGGCAGGCCTTTGGCTCCTTCTGGGCCGCTCTGCCTTGCTTTGCCTGCCTTGGGATGGCTCCCACTCACCCTCTGCCTCCCGCTCTGGCCTCACTCGACCTCTCTGGCCACTCACCTCTATGGACCTCTCTGGCCTCACTCACCTCTCTGGCCTCACTCACCTCTCTGGCCTCACTCACCTCTCTGGCCTCACTCACCTCTCTGGCCTCACTCACCTCTCTGGCCTCACTCACCTCTCTGGCCTCACTCACCTCTCTGGCCTCACTCACCTCTCTGGCCTCACTCACCTCTCTGGCCTCACTCACCTCTCTGGCCTCACTCACCTCTCTGGCCTCACTCACCTCTCTGGCCTCACTCACCTCTCTGGCCTCACTCACCTCTCTGGCCTCAGTCACTCTCATCGCCTAGTTTGTGAGATATTCCCACTCCCACCTGAGCTTAGCTGCCCTGCTGGTTACCTTGGTGGGTAGCCTGATAGGCAACAACACTCCACTCAACGATCAAACAAACAGGAGAAGGTGAGATATACATTAGCGTGTCAAGTTTATGGTAACCCGTCTTGGTTCGCACGATAGCCCCGTCTTGGATCGCACGATAGCCCCGTCTTGGATCGCACGATAGCCCCGTCTTGGATCGCACGATAGCCCCGTCTTGGATCGCACGATAGCCCCGTCTTGGATCGCACGATAGCCCCGTCTTGGATCGCACGATAGCCCCGTCTTGGATCGCACGATAGCCTCGTCTTGGATCGCACAATAACTCCGTCTTGGATTGCACATCTCTCAATGTGCGGAATCGAGGCACGGCTTCACCTTTTGATTGGCTGCCGTGATTGTCTCCCCTTGGTTTCTTCCCTCCTTCGCGCCCCGGTCCCAAACTTCTTCGCACCACTTTCTACATTTCCCACCTACATCACCAATACTCTGATTTTGCAACTACAGTCTACACCTGTTCAAGATAGTGTCTTTTATATATCTGAGTAATCTATTTAATCTGTGACAGTTTATTCACGTATGTGCATCGCCCAACATGGGGCACACAGCATTTCTCGTCCTTCCCCTCCTCCCCCCCCCCCCTTCCCCACCCACCAACACCCAACCAATTCCTCCTTCTCACTATGGCCCACCTTGCCTC